GACAGCATGACCACAACCACCTCTTAGAATTTTGTCTAAAATCGCTTCTTTTATTTGCAAGTCTGCCTTGCCTTCTTAAATCTGCAGCATTCATCATATTCCTAGTTTCAGAAATACAAACTTCCTAGCGTAGTAAAGGCTTGTTGAACTTTTTCCCCACAATTTCTTTAACCTCATCTTGTAGCAGAAAATTTAGGAGTTTACAATTTAGGAGCAGAAAGTCAGGCTCTTCCAACCAAGGGGATACTTGAGAACACCAGCATCCAGGATCTGCTCATTTTTACATTAGAGGGTTAGATTTTTTTAAAAAATTAGAAAAAAACACAGCTGGAAAACTACTTTCCTAAAGCAAATATGAAGTTAATACTCTTTCAGTTATATGGCTTTAATAGCTCAAGAAAGAAGGAAGTCTCATATCGGAAACTAGAATTAACAGCCCATTGTTCCTGCTTTAGAAATAGTCGTCTTAGGAGCTTATACAACACACATAATATGATGACTGGTGTGCCTTGCACTTTATAGACACAAGTTTTATTTTAACATTCCAATGCAATCTGTTTCATCTTTTGACATTTCATTTTTTTTCCCCCTCAAAGAGTAACACTATTCTGTTAGATGCTGATGCAGTTTTAATACTATTTAAACTTTATCATGTAAGGTGTACACATTGTACACATGATTATGGCTACTAAGTGAAGCAATCTGAAGGTAACAAGCAGGCTGAGCATCTGTAACTGGTCCTTCTCACTGTGGTCTGCTTGCTATCCAGGAAGTTTGGCAAAGCCAAAACATAGATGTTTTACGCGTAAAGAGTTCCAGTAAACACAACAAAGGAGAACATAAAGCCAAGAAGGACGGAAATGACAAAGTGCTTACCTTGACTCGCCACTACTGTTTCTTACACTTTCTTCATCACTATGCCCATTCATTGTAAATATTTAGAAGTTTAAAAGATAAATAAAAGTCCACTCAGGTTACAATGTGGATGTCAAGAATTCACTTCCTGGTACTCTGTGCGTTTTCCACGTGATGTGTTTGCTCAGTTGTTCTCCACAGGTATTCAAGATTTCTCCCAAATTACCTAAAGTAGTAAACAAAAATATTGACACAATTTGAAATATTTGATGGTTGCTGCCCAAAGATACTGAAAACAAGCTGGCTTGGCGTTTGTCATTTTCTTTTTAACTGAAGAATAGCTTTTGGTATTTATTATCTGCCCACGCTTGATTGTTTTATCATCGTTTTCTTGTTTGAAAAAGCCTTTTTTCCTGATATCTGTGGAAAAAAGAAGAAATTCTCCTCAAAAGAAGGGACCTTTTAATTAGCTATACTGAAAAACTAAGGAACTAAATGAAATACGTAAAATGCACAAGAGGAAAAACCTCTCTAGCCTTTTGCCCAGCTGCTGCTAGGTCTCAAAACACAGCCCATTATGCTGCTTTCTTCAAATTTTCATTCAAGGTGCTATACAGGTGACAATTTCTGCAGAACCACTAGCTGCAGACTACTTGGTAGCCCACAGACACGCTTCACAAACACTATTGTCTGTAGCATTTTGGAGTTAGGAGAATGATTGATAGTATGTCTGCACTATACCTGGTGGCATGGCTTTCGCCACAGTGCTGTCTCAAGGACAGCCAGATTTAAGTTTTAAAAGGAAACAGCCTCCCCAGACACAGAGGTATAAACTACAGATATTAACGATCCGCTCCAGTCAGATCACTGAGAAGCGTTTCATGCACAAAACACTCATCTCAGAAGCATTTCCAGATTCAGACATACAGTTGGGGGACAGAAGAGAAAGACTGTCCGAAAAAAAAAAAAAAAAAAAGAAACGAAAGCGTTCAACAAAACCAAACTGCCAAGATCCCACGGATGGAAAGTTCGTTGTTTCCTGTACGAAGGCCTTAAATCAGACCACCGCAGTATCAGCCGCGCCGAGAGAAA